GAATTTGTTGTGTAATACAGGATACCCTGCGTATTTAATTGGTAATTATTCGATGGACGTAATTACCCTTACGACCTAATTAGGGTTTCCCATTGGATGTATATATATAGAGGTCATTAGGCAGAGATCACAACACATCAATCTTATGCCTTCTCTCTCCCTCTCTATTCTTGTGAGTCTCATCCTCACTTTAGCCATCGTAATGATACACCCTAAACGGAAACTCGATCGCCATCAGAATCATGGCATCAGAGCAATTGTGTTGATTAATCGATTCTTTTGTTTTCCAACAAAAAAAATTGATTTAGTCCATACGTTTAAATTTTTTTTTTGATGATTTTGATTCCAGTAACTATGAATCTAAATAAATTATTCATGTTCTTCATCCTTATTTTGATAAAATCATCTTACTTTGGTATTTGATTTAGAATAAAAATTGTGTTTCCTTAATTGTGTAGCGTATCTCACATTTACATAATATATTCAGTTTCCTTATTTACTAATTTATTTTATCAAGAATAGTAAAACTAAGTAAGGGATATGCTAAAATACCCTAAAAAATCAATTTTTTGTTGGAAAATCTAATGCCTTATATGCCTTTTGATTTTTTTAATTAAATTAATCTTAATGGGTCCCCAATTTTTCGTAGCCCTGCCCCAAACTGCTTTAACTTTTGTGGTTAATTAATTATTAACATTAAATTTATAAATCATTTGACTAGTTTTATGTTAGTTAAATTGATTTATTTTGCTTGACTTGAATAATACCTTAGAATACACTTCTCATATATTTTAAATTCATTTTATTCATTAATTGATATAAAAATAAAAAGTGCAACTTACGTATTCTATAGTCACATAAAAAATTCTATAAAATTAAATTTGATAAAAATACTTTATTTTATCAATATTTAATTAAAATTAAAGTAAATAATATGTTGTGAAATTAGAATAAGAACTAAAATATACGGAATATTTCTTTTTTTTATTTTCGGTACAATTATAGGGAGTATAAGATGAGTATTTGTATGACAAGGAAGTATGTACTTATGTATCACACCTCCGAAACTTATGTAGAAAGGAGAAGTGTATTGTCACGATTGTAGACTAATGAGAGCATCTACTGGAGCGAGCACCTTATCCGAATATTCTTCTACTCTCCCCTTCATTTCACACTTATCCATTTTCTCTCCACTACAAGCCAAATCTTTCATTGTTATCAATGCCACCGATCTGCGATTAAAGTCTAATTTACGTTTTTTCAGTGACCGTCTGGCCGTGTATGAGGGGGCTTTGGAGATGGGGCTCATCTTTTTTTTTTCTTGTTACCAAAAAAAACCCAAACCATGAAATTCATGGTAAAATTCTTCAAGGTCATACTCATTTTATAGAATTTAGTATGTAAACATCATGAATGATTTGAAAAAAAAAATAAGAGATCCCCATCTCAGCCCATACAAATGCAAGAAAGTTAGCATTTCGCACATAGATTTAGGATCATGAAAGCACAACTCAAAACTGAAAAGCCACTTAAAAAAGTGAGAAACAACTCTTGTTTCTGAATAAACGTTTATTTTCTTTTTTATCCCATCTTTGTTTTCTAATAAAAAATATATGTATTATATATAGTTCACAATATCTCTCTCCTCTAATCAAATTTTAACCCCTTTCTTTCATCTAAACGATAACACAAAGTTTATAGTTTTCTTAGGAGTAATTCTCTAAATAGTCCTTTATAACTAGGTTTTCTATATTTAGTCTGTATTTATCGAATATTATGTTGACAACCCTATAAATTGGGTATCATTCCACGTGTGGTCCTGCGTCTATTCTTCTGTCTATGTGCTGTTAAACAAGGACTAAATGTGGAATAGTACTTAACCAATAAGGACCGCGAACATAATATTTGATAAATAGACTAAATATAAAAAAATCTCATTATAAAGGGTTATTTAGAAAAGTTAGTCTTTTCTTTTAAATAAAAAAAGGATGACAACTCATCACTGAGGGTCCCTCAACACCGGCCACACAGTTAATTGAGAAGAGGTAAATTAAACTGTAATCTTAGTAAGTTGGCATAAGGGTAGAGTTTCGCGCCTGGTACTTGCAGAAGGCTCATGCTTTGCATGATTATTTCTCATCGCAACCACCAAATTTCGAATTCGGAACCTATCTCTTATAGCACTCATATGCCAACCGCTAAACTACGTCGCACCAAGGGAAGAGTAGGAGACAAATTAATAATCATGATAACCTTTGTCGTTTTCCATAAATTTTCCCACATTTCAACCATATTCGGACCTGCAGATCTGGCATCTTTTGTTCCACAAATCCATGCCCTCTTTTGCTGGGCGGATCCAAAACAATTTGGATGGTTGAGATTTGATCCAACGGTCCTCCTTGGCCAGATGACCCGGGCTAAGATTTGCCACTCTACACAATCTCCTTTTTTTTTTGTTATCCATCACAAATCATTTATTTTGTGCTCATCTACTCATATTATTGATAGTGATACTCCTATTGTATCGAATCGAATAGCGCGTTTTCAAATGGTTTTAGAAAATAAAACCGTTTTCAAAATGATACGAGACGGGTTTCCCAAAAATAAATACCAAAAATATCGAATGAACTGTTACTACTAAAATATTAAATCAATAAATTACCTATATATTTTCATTTGTTAATTTTTAGTTAGTTAAGATGATATATATTTGGTGTGACTTTCACAGTTTCACATACTTAAATTTATGTTTTTATAATATTTTATTATCCCGAAAAATAACTCAAATTATAAATTTATTTGTTGAAGAAGTGAACTGTGATTAAGTTTTTTCAAAAATTTGTAACTAAACAATACACTTCATGAGCAAAAAACTAAGAGTGCATAAAATTATTTGTGCACCAATTTTTGTAACTATGTCGGTTGTTTGTTATAAAAAATATTCAAAGCATTGAAGAATTATGGAGTGGTTTGGCATTAGTATGACATGGTACCATCCCGTTACCAAACGACATTATACCATATGGGTTTAGGTGTAAAACCAAAACCATGCCGAATCGTTTGAATAGTAACAATATGGTACGAGTTCTTTAAAAATACTGAAGCGTCACGGACCGTGTTAACCCCTAGATACTCTCTTTCTCTCAAAAAGAGAATCACACTTTATCTTTTTTTGTTTAAGGAATACTCCCTCCGTTCTTAAAAAATGAGATTTATTGATTTTTAAGAGATTTAAGGAAAGTATATTTTAGTATTGAGTTTCTAAAAAAACTCTTTGATATGATGGATAGAAGTAGGATTTGAAGGGTAGATTATTAGTAAAAAGATATGATGTGATAGGTAAAATATGAAAAAATAAGGGGTAAAAGTGACTTTTTAATAGAAATAAGAAGTGTTTTTTGGGACTGATGAAAAAAAGAAAGGATAAAGGTTTTTAGGGATAGAGGGAGTATTAAACAAATTTGAATATATAATATTATATTTTAGAATGAATCAAATTATAATAAATTATATTATAATAAAACATTTTTTTCCTAATTTGTGGTCAAACAATATCTCATTATACCAAAAAAGTAAAATTGTTACTCTCCTTTTGGGACGGCGGGGTATATTATTCCCTTTTTAATCATTTTGAAATTTTAAAGACAAAATGAAAATAAAATCACTATTGCAATTTGGGTGCACTAAATTTTTTTTCAATAAATGACGATGGACTACTGACCATAGAAAGGTACCAATTCAAAGAAATGAGGCCAGACTACACTTGTGATATTTGATAAGGATTGAATATGAAAATTCACCTATTACTACAGACAATTTATGAAATTTACTTTAACATGAAACTAGATAAAAAATCTCTAACTATAAAATAATAAGTGACATAATTATGTTATGTTTATTAATAACTACGGAGTAACAGAAAACAAGTAAAAAAAAGAAAACGATTAATCCGTGAGTGGTGGAGAGAGAGGATTATTTTGGGTTGGATAGAGAATGAACTTAATCGTTGGTGAAAAAAATTGAATAACGGTGTATATAATACTCCATAATGTTACCTTCGTTCCAAAAAATACTACGGAATATCATGTTACTATTCTGACCTCTCGATAATTTTTAATTATTTGTATCTTTTCATATGTTATCTGATAAAATAAGCATTCTTATTATCTCTTAGTTTATTGAATTTTTTATATAATTTTTTAATATGTAATTTTTTTTTATTTTTATCTTAATTTGTAAATAAAATAAATTTTAAAAAGTAGAAATTGTAGCGTCTTCCAAAAGTGTAATTAGGCGGATAGAGTAACTAAATAGTTCGCCATCCATAGAAAGATTATAGTATTATACAGTACTACCTCCGTCCCATTGTCTTTGTCCACTTTTGATTTTTGGAACTGTTCATCTAAACATTTTGACTCATCAAATTCTCTCAATGTGTAAGCCTAAAAATAGTCATGTGTGATCTTGTTTGATTCGTCTTAACATATAGATTATTAATATATAATTTTTATAATTTTTTAATATACAAATTACAAGATAAAATGGATAAAAGTAGTGCATTGGATGGTGTGCCAAAAGGTAAGTGGACAAAGACAGTGGGACGGAGGGAGTATTTCTCGACTTATTTTGTCATATGAAAAGGCTCCACATTTAGATAACGTGGGGAATTGGCAAATGTGGCAATGTGATACGAATATCGTATCGGATAGGGAAGAACTTCGAGCGTTCTTCAAGCTCCAAGAATATGAGGTAGAGAAAGATGGAAAACTTCGAGCGTTTCCGGACTCCAAGAGAATAGAGGAGGAGATTAGGGTTTTGATATTTCTTTATTGATTCAATAATAATAATATGAGAGTACAATATATAGAGATACGAGAAACCTTAATTAACCTAATGGGCTTGGGCCCCATACTAAAACCTAATCATGAGTACCTATATAATATTACTAATTAATAAATAACTAATTAAATAATATAATTCATCTTCTGTATCATTCCCACCTCCTTAGAAAGCCACCTTGTCCTCAAGGTGGAGGCTCCCACTCGTGCTTCTGGACAAAAGGAAAATGGTTGAGCCAAAGAAGATCTCCCCCTGGTGACCCATCATTACAAACCTCAACAATTGAAGCGTAACAAAGGATAGTTGAGGCAAAACCAAATAGGTGGCGGACTACTCGCAAGGGAGCTAAGTATTCAAACTTTTCAATATCATCGAGGTCAAACAACTTGAGGGTATCCAATGAAATTGAGTTGTCAACTTTGAGAAACTCTTCATCTGCTACTTTGTCATCACATCTTGAAACTTTATACTCTGCCATGACCACATCAAGCGAGGTATCGATATCCTTAAAAATAGGATCTGGCTTGTAGTTCTTAGCAACATCTGCATGCTTACGATCATCATCAATTACTTCCACAGTGTTGGGCTTCCCGTTATCTTCATTCATGGCTTCAAATACACTGCTCACCTCATCTTCACCACGTGGTCCAGTGCGGAATTTCTTTGCTCCAAGTGCATCCTCCATAGTTGGGGTAGGTAGTGTGGTGGTGTCTTCCACCCTGTGACCAAATTTGTCTATAACCTTCTTTGGTGTCTTCTCAAAATAAATATAATTTAAATCATGTAGCGGAGCAAATCGAATCTTGAACTTTTCAACAAAATCCGTCCAACCATCAATTAAGCCACCACGCATACGCCAATTAAACCAAGCCAAGGCAGAGTCCTCTAACATTGATGTCACACGGTTCAAACGATCAACTAAAGGGATCTCATAAAACTCAAAATACGCACATACCTTTCCTAACCACTGCAAGGGTTCAGAGCCGTCACATTTTGGGGGCATCGTTGGTGGAGAAAGTGGAGCGCCAGTCACTTTCCGTATAGTACCAATAATGTGTGTTCTAAACATTTCTAACTCAAACGGAATTTGTCTTGGCACAATTAGAGGCCCACGAACCAAATCTTGTACCGAGCAAAAAATTTCTACGTCGAGCGCATCATAATCAATTTGACCTTCAAAATAACGGACTGACCTGAGCTTCTTAATAATTTCATATACTTGATCAAAAATCAAACAAGCTCTTTCATCATGCTCAATTTCTCCATAAAGAACTTTATCTAACAAATTAAGAAGTTTGTCCAATGCACAAATCATCTTCGCCATGCCCATATCGAAAGTACTTGTAGAAGCTTGTGTCATAGTGATTCTTAAAAGAATATGTGGCGCATATGAACTTCCAATTAACAAAGGCCCTTAAAATCCAGTGATACAAGAAGTATAAAAATAATGCAGTAGCAAAACAAAACAAACCCTTGGATACCAATAAAATTCCAGCGGCAAGTGGCTAAATCCTTTTGATTAGTTGAGTGAGCTTTTGCGGCTGCGCATCCCAATGCTTCCTCTCATCAATTCAGCCATCTGTTGTGGCAATTTTTTTTTGTTTTTTTTGTGTTCCTCTCAACGAGAGCACCAATTGATACGAATATCGTATCGGATAGGGAAGAACTTCGAGCGTTCTTCAAGCTCCAAGAATATGAGGTAGAGAAAGATGGAAAACTTCGAGCGTTTTCGGACTCTAAGAGAATAGAGGAGGAGATTAGGGTTTTGATATTTTTTTATTGATTCAATAATAATAATATGAGAGTACAATATATAGAGATACGAGAAACCTTAATTAACCTAATGGGCTTGGGCCCCATACTAAAACCTAATCATGAGTACCTATATAATATTACTAATTAATAAATACTTCTTCCGTCCCCCATAGATCTTCTCAATAGCCCTTTTTCTTTGTCCACAATAGATTTTCTCATTTCATTTTTTAGCAAGTAAAATACCACAACTATCCCCACTTACTTTATTTATTACACCTCACTCACCTCATTTAATACACTCCACTCATTTTCATTAAGGGTATTTTGGTAAACTTTCACCTTTTTTCAACTCCCCTTAAAAACCACTAAAAGTCAAAATGAGAACATCTTAGGGGGACGAAGGGAGTAACTAATTAAATAATGTAATTCATCTTCTGTGTCACAATGCATGGTGCTTAGTTGCTTACAAGCACATTAATAAAATTTAAAAAAATTTACTTTTTTTGGGAAAAGATGGAGTTAGTTGTTTTTGTAAGTTTTCTTTTCAATTAGTTTTGGAAAAAAAACTAAAATAAGAGTAAATGTTGAAAATATGTTGTAAAATAGGAGTTCCATACTACGTATGGTATAAGGAATGAAAATATCTTTCTAAAATTATAGATCTCAATAAATATGGTAAATAAAATAATTAATAAATCGTATTATAATAAAAGAGCATGATTGGAAGCGAATCAAACGATCCATGTCATAAATAGTTAAATGTGAAAAAAACAACAATGAGTGCTAAATGTGTAATATTGGGCGTCTTAGAGCTACATAGGGTGATTTCTAAAAAAACGAACTTTTTTCTCAAGAAAATGAATCAATGACTCATAGCTTTTGTCTATCATCTAAACGAATTCTTATTGTATAGTTTTCACTTTTCAATACTTTTTATAAATAGTAAAATTTTTAAACTGTCTTTTCTAATAAAATATTTTTCAAATTAGTTATCAATAAGCAATAATTATCAACATGATCTATTGAAATTAAGATATGTTTTCTATAAATAGTCCTCTGTCAATAATGTCTATTAAATACAGTTAAAAGGGAATGTATTTTTGTATTTTCTATCATCTAAAGTTTGAATAAGTACTCAAATAGTCCTTTCAAATTAAGCAAGTGACTACTAGAGAAACAGAGATTAGGCTCATGGAGTCAATTTTGAAAAAAACATTTATTTAAAAATTATTAGTTTAAAGATATTTAATCATAAAGAAACATTTCAAGATGTACTTTAAATCTAGATGATAGAAAATACCAAAATATAGACATTTTTGGCAAAAGATCATTTAGAGGATAAACCTAAATTATAAAGGATTACGCAGACAATTATATTTATTAAGAGTTAGTTTAGAAAAACACTTTACTAGTAGAAAGAACCATTTTGACTTTTTTTTATAAATTCATCATAGCGAACTATATATGTGGAGATAGTAAGGTAAAATCATCTCATCACCAAAGTTTTATAATGGATAAATAATGAACTCAATCAAAATGACACATTAATAAATTGCTTCTTACGCCATACTTCTTTATGGTCTACAAACTTTTGATACAAATGCATCACTCTACAAAGGGTCTAACAAAAACACTTTTTCTATACAGATAAAAACAATGATAAATTGAGAATATATTCACCTCTCAGAAACCAACAGAGTTGAAAGCAGTTTGATAAGAGAAAAAAGATGATGCACATTGTATGCAGTGATTTGAAATCCAAACGAGCAAAACCCTGTTTTGTTTTCAGGGCAAGAAACATGGGTTCAGTTCAACCAAAATGTAAATGTACATCAAGAATTACAGAGTATTATTATTTCAAGGTTTTGGTATACAGCCTCTGCACAATCCATATACATACATGATGAGAACCGCTTAACGCCGCCTGTCCTCTTCGGGTCAGTCAATTTCCAGAATCAGAAATTATGCAGAATGTACCTTGAGGTATGATGGGGACGATGATCACGAGCTTTCTTCACCTCAGACAAACAATCATCTCGTCTCTTGATGGGAATGAAGGAAACAGTCATTCGGGTTCTTTGGGGTCCATCCGCCATTTCTTTTCGGGGGGCGGGGGGGGGGGGGGGNCCTAATTGCATAATCTCACAGTGCAAGCAACCGTCTGCGCCCAGTATTTGAGGCGTGCTTTAACATCTTCAGGATCATCACCTGGAGTAGAACATATGATGATCAGAACAAGGAGTCTCACATTTGCAGCTTTACTTTTTCAGAACAAAACTAAAACCTTTCCGGAACCTAAATGCTATTCCTTCTTCTTTCAACTAAAAACTCAAACTTGTAGTTGTATAGACCCATTTTATACTCCAATGTGGAAAATTAATTTTTTTACACTAAGTGGCAGTAAGTTTTGGTGAAATTTGCACTAAATAGTACTCCTAAAACATATGTTTTTTTACCAATGTATTACTTAAACTGTCTAGTGGCGGGAACAGTATCAAGTGATGGTGGACATTTAGTTCGAACCATGTCCGCTAGACATTCACTTGAACAATGTCTAGTGGATATAGTGGACATTAAACAATAGTACTACATTGAAAAATAAAAACATATGATACTACATTGAAAAATTATAACATACGGTACTATTTAGTTAAATTTCCCTAAATTTTAAATTTTAAACGAGCTCAACCAAAAGCTCCAAGAAAGGATTTGTTTATACATATAATCTAACAATCAATAATGATTAATCAGTAATCACCTCACGAATCAAGATTTAGATCACAATTGTGACAGAAAATTCGAATCTTTTTCATAAAAAAATCAAATTCTGAAAGGGGAAAGGGCATACCAGGACTAGAGAATCTCCAGTTGGGAATAGGGGCAGAGGCGGAGGAGGCTGTTTCCGACATAGATTCCGGCGACCGCTGGTGCTCATCGAGGTACTTTTGACTCATGGAATAACAAAGCTCGAGAGCCGGCAAGGTGTTGCATAGCTCGGGGATTTCTTCGTAATTGAATCCGAATCCCAGATCCAAACAGCCCTTAAGCTCCTCCAAATCGTCATCCGTCAAGCTCTTCGTCCTCCCAAGCTCGTCATCCTCAGATGTCTCCACATAGCCTTCTAGAAACACCTGCTTCTTCTTCTTCTTCTTATTGGCCTTCATCGTCCGCCATGGATCCTCTTTCCCATCCGCCTCATTCTGAGACCGCCAAGAGCTGCAGTCGCAGGCGCAGTCTTCCGGCGGGGCCTGGAATAGGGTTTCGTGCGGCGGCGTCGGTGGCGGAGATCTGGTTTTTGAGCTGTGGAGCATCCAGTTGTCCATTTTTTCTTTGTGCTCTGTCTAATTTCTTCTTTCCGTTGATAATTTGGGAGAGAAAAGTCGGCTTATAAAGATGGCCCAATGGGACGTCCAATACAAGGTGTCAAGGTGACAATTTTTCTTTTTTTCTTTTATTTTTTGTGTGGTGCACAAGGTGACAATCATGATTCCAATTAATCCAATGAATGTACGAGTTATAATGAAACAAACTTTGATACGGAATACGCCACCAGCCCAAAATGAATATTAGAGTTTATCAATTAAAATTTATGAATTTTTTTTATTTGTATATTTTTATTTATGAGTTTATCACCTAAATCTTATTGCATGCAATTAACGGGGATGCAGGGGTATGTTTGGACTGGGTAATGGTAGGAACCATTAATTTTTCGAACGAAACATCGTATGAATCTCGGATCATCCCATGACATTGAATCTTAATGTCATGGGAACCAAAGTATACTCCACAATATGATAAGATAAATTGTGATAATTTTACGCAAGTTATATATAACAACAATGTTTTTGTACTAAAGTTTAACATATTTTCAATTTAATTAACATCAAAATTTGTCCACCTTGTGAATACTTTGAGGCAAAGATAGTTTTATTCAATTGTCAAATTTTATTTGTTCAATGCTTTCCAATACTGGTTCGGAACTGGAAACATGATCAAGTGTACCTAAAATAGGAGTATCTCTTAAGCATGAGTGTCATGTTTTTTTCTCCAAAATAGAACTAATGCTTTGTGACGATATGTCAATATTAATTGGTATTTCATAGTATATTTTTGATATTATATACTGGCATTATAAATCATATATCAGAGATAAAAACATGACATACATATTTTAATTTGATTCGTTTTCTATGTTCCTAACGCCTATTTTAGTTTTTATCTCATTAAATTTACATTTCTTTCGGAGTAATAACTTAAGTCTTATTTTGGGATTAAAACGTAACATATCACTCTTATTTTGAAGATAATGAATATACTTTAGTCCTGCCAAGATTTATTTCTTTTAATCTTATTGGGTCCAAGGTAGTTTCAAGGAGAAAGACCAAAGTAAGACTAAAACATTGAAAATATACCAAAATAGGACTTCCATATTTTTTCCCGAAATAGGACTTACATTACCAAATATGGTCATGTACATTACCAAAAAAGTATAGTAATGTGCACATGTACAGTCCCACATTACCACAGTGCAAAGTTCTATTTCGGAATAAAAACACATGAAAGTTCTATTTTGGTACTTTTATCTATGTTTTAGTTCTATTTAGGGTAACTTCTATAGTTTTCATTCGTCCCATTTAAGTCGTCTGTTGTTGTTTTAATGATATTTGGTGAAAGTTATTTTTAAATAAATTTTTTGAAAGTTTGTGTATAATTAAAAAATAAAATATATGTATTTAAAAATTACGTAAAAAAATCAACAAAATAAGAAGTGACACATAATATTATCTTATCAAGCAAATTAATGGAAAATTAATAAAATAAATAAATAAAATATGATCATGTAAATAATAATATTAATTTTAAGAATTGATTCCTTCTTCAACGTAACTAGTATGCCAAAACAAAGGATGTGCTTACGAACCTCTAAGTCCAAAAACAAAAGCCCACTAGTCGTTAATAACTACAAACCAACCCTATCATTAAGACAAAATTAGATGAAAAGAAGAAAAAAAACATTTTACTGGTGCAGAGAATATGATACAAGAAGGGTTAATCGCAACACCCCATTCGTTGAGTTGTTTTCAATGAATGAATGAATTGCTAAACCTAATGTTGACTACTAGCTAGTGGTGGCTAAAATCCAACTCGATCACACAATTAGAAAAATGACAATGCCACGTACGTACTACCTAATATTATTCCCTTCACTCCTAATTACTGTAATTAGTAGACGTATTTGACTTTTTCTAGAAAAATTAAAATTTCAGAAGTTTGTTTCGATATCTTGGGATGCACAAAGTATATTATTAATTACGTTTTTTTAGTGTTACTCCTTCCATCTAAAATAATCTTCACTTGCCAGTTCGGATTACGAGATTTGACTGAAATTATTTTAATTGAATTTATTTGATTATAAGTGTAAAATTAAAAAAGTATATATATTTTAAAACTACACCGAAATATCTATAAAATAAGAGGTGACGTTAGTATATTATTTTATCAAATAACTAACGGAAATAGTTAAAGAAAATTACTCCCTCCGTTTTTTAAAACACTTCCTCTTTCATTTTTTTCACTTCCAACAAAACACTTCCTCTTTACATTAAAAAACCACTTTTACCTTACTTTTTCATACCCTACCTATCACATCATACTTTTTCTCTAATAATCTATCCATCACATCTTACTTTTACCCATCACATCAGGGGCAAAATTGGAAGTCAACTATAATTTTACACTTCCTTATTTTGGCTCCAAGTCAAAGTAGGAACCTTTTTTACAAACGGAGGGATTATTAAAGTTTGACCATGTGAATAGTGAATGAGAAGATCATTTCAGGACAAAAGGGAGTATATTATTCTATTCACATTTTATGCATGTCAAGTCGAAAAACAAAAATATGAAACACAATTTGATCGGAGCACAAAAATATGAAACAGCAATGTACTCAACCACTAGATCAGATCAGACAATATAATGGCCACTGACTAAACAGGTTGTAGCTAAGTTTCAATTCAAAATCAAGCTTCAACACATCACACAAACATGTATAAGTGTAGTGTGATCTCTCTTTTGCTTGCCAAGAAAGGCAAGAATACACATCCTCTCTTTTCTCTCTTATGTTCCTATCCAACTCCAGAGGCAATGCACAACTAACGATGAATTCTTTGTACCATTTATTGCCGAACTCTTCAAAATTTATACAGATTATTCATGAACTTTAATAATTGTACCAAAAATTCCTGAATTTTTAAAAACATTGCATCAATTATCCATTTGCACCAGATTCAGGAGTATGTTAGTCACACAATCGTCCATGTGCAACCATGGATTCAATCTAAACTCATTAATCACACATGAGTTCTGCAATATGTTTTCCTAAACATTATTTTCTATAATTTTAACCTTTTGGAAGCCCAAATAGTTGTTCTTGCTTTAGCCGTCGGTAACTGAATTCAATGCTCGAACATTAGTCGATTAGGCTCTTCATCAAGCTCCAACATGTACATTGATGAGTATGCAATTAACTCACTCCCACATTTGGTGCAGAGGGTCAATGAAGACAATGTTTTTAAAAGTTAAGGGCTATTGGTGTAATTTCTAAGGTTGAGAAGAGTCCAGACATTTTTAATACAAAGAGTTCGAGAGCTAATGATGCAAAAATCTCACGCAATAATAAAGATCCAAAATAAACTAGAATGCTGGTATCTTTCATGAACTTAATGTTTTGATTAAAAATAATACATGTGAATTAGTACACCGCTTCTCACCCAAATTGACATCTCTAGAAAAATGAATGTGTCCTCATAAACTTAGCCCTAAGATACAAAGCTCGGTTAGCTGTTCACGGATTCACCCTTTTTTATTGGTACCTGATAATTAGCTCTCCTTATTAATTTCCTACATTGTAACTTTGAGCTATATTATGAATAATACCCAACAAATCTCCCTAACATTTTGTCTCCTATTGATATCACTCATGGTGTGAAGTCTCCATGCATTGTACGTGGACTCAGCTCCCTAAGAAATAATAATGGAAAAATAATGTAGCACAAGAAAAAGATGAGTCGTATCATTTTCAAACAATCATGCCATGGGTATACCAAAAAAATATAGTCTAAGTTGTACCTCAAAGAAATGTACCGACATTTTAACGATTCACACTAGCACAAAATATTAGTTCAATTTAAAAAATTTGCACTGGCATTTTTTATCAATGTAAATCACAACACTAGCATAAAATACCAATTTATTCCTTTGTACTCCCTCCGTCCCGCTATATTTGTCCACTTTTGACTTTTGGAACTGTTCATCTAAGTACTTTGACTCATCAAATTCTCTCAATGTGTAAGCCTAAATATAGTCATGTGTGATCTTGTTTGATTTGTCTTAACATATAGATTATTAATATATAATTTCTATAATTTTTTAATATACAAATTACAAGATAAAATGGATTAAAAAAGTGTATTGGATGGTGTGCAAAAATGAAAGTGGACAAATACTCTGGGACGGATTTACAAATAGCTTATTCCTATTTTCAAATAGCTTAATCCATAATTTGTATTTGATTTACAAATAGCTTAATCCTATTTTCAAATAATAAAAATCTTGATACGGTTGCAGATTATGGATTGGGGCATTTGGGAATGGGCCCAATAATTAAGATGGGTGTCACTAGAAGACAGCCCACTATCCAACAACCCACGTGGCCAGCATTCCTTGCCCGGTAGCCAGTAGGTATATCCAACCCACCGGAATACGCGTCCAGTCACCGGTGGGACCCATTTCTCTGTTGCTCTGTTGGAATGCTTATCTAATAACCCGTCCAGTAATTAGTAATTACTCTTGAACATTTTGACTTTTAAAAATGACTTTCCTCCCCCACTTTAAAGACTTGAACATTTTGACTTTTAAAAAATATTTGCTTCTTTTCAAAATGTTTGCCACATTTGTTTTTTTAACAGTTGCGGGAATTTTTATTTATTTATATGTTTTTACTGATTATTTGACAAAATGAAATATTCTTAACACCTCTTATTACGAAGAATTTTTCATACAGTCTTTGAATATGTAAATTTTATTTTTTATTTCTATACCAATATTTAAATAAAATGATTAAAAAAACTTGATGTTTCACCTCGGTTTTTGAAATATGATACATATTTAGATGCGGAAAGAGTATTAAAAAAACGTTGCATATTTGGCCTTTTTGGATGACTGAAAAGTACTTCTAACTCTCTTCGTTTTTAGTTTAATACTCCGTAATGAACTAGTATCACACCCGTGCATTGCACGGGTCATATTTACGTTACTAAATTAAGATCATTTTTCAATGCTAGAAACTGATATCTAATAGAATATAGACATTATTCGTACAATTTGCGGGAACATTGTCTTCGTTGCATATCAAAATCTTCAACCTACTACAATTTGTTACTCTTGAAACTGCAACATACAGTTATCAATGACTAAATACCAGTTTAATGAAAAGAGTATTTTATTACTTACGGAGTACCAATTTATCAATGGAAAATGTAATTTGATGGAGTACTTACCAATTTAGCTTCACACATACTTAATGTAATGCCTACCACTGTTGGGCGGGAAACCACAGAGAGTATTTTTCTTTTTTTTAAAAAAAATAAAATATAGGTATATGACTAGGAAAATTTCTCTTGTATCGGAGCAAACTTTTATCAAATACGGAGTGGTTTTTACTTTTCAATATTTTTTCAAATTATGTGAAAATTAAATGTGTAAAGTTTTTTTTTAGACGGAAAGAGTATGTATGAAAGTCTTTGTGTTAAATCGTCAATATATGAAAAATGTAAAATTTATGCGTGCACATTGAATTTTTTTTATTAATGACATGATTGGAAATTGGAAATTGAACTTCAAATTTAGATTTTGAATCAAATTTCATGTTTAAGAATCTTAGAAATTTGAATTAAGATTTGTGACAAATTCTTCTGCGCAACATTTGGGAACTAACATTTTATTTAAATTCTTACTATCACCTCTCAGAGGTGGGTATATATTAATTTAGGGGTGGGGGTGGGTTTTGTGACAAAAAAAATGGATGGTGGGACAAGGAATTGGGATAGGGGTGAGGGAGCCAAAAAAAATAGGGCTATGGCAATGTCTGTCACCCAAACAAAGGACATTTCCCTATGAAAAACAGCACTTAACCCTGACACATATATGCCATAATACAAAGTAGGTGAAATATTTATGCTATGTGAAGAATATACTTGTCTTACCCAAGGAAAAAGACTTAACCTTGATACACAACACATTTTACTAATACTAATACAAAGTAGGGTCCAGAACAGACGTGCCATAAAAGTTCAGATCACAGAAATCTGAGAGATTATTATTCTACACAACAAATACTCTAGCCGCCGGTGCATAAGAAATGCTCAGAATACCCTCCCTGCACTGGGAACTAAACATGTAACCGGTAACAAATCACGTATATGTACAAACAGACTAGACTCGAGAGGGAAGGGAAGAAGTAGAAGAGTTCCCTAGTCTTGAGATTGGTTTCCAGCTATGACAAGAGGTTCTCTGGCAGAGGACCCATTCCCTGAGGCCCTGTCCTTCCAGATTCTCTCCACTTCATCGAACGTCAGGCCCTTTGTCTCGGGTACAAAAGCCACCACGAACCCAAAGGCAGCAACAGCCATACCGGCAAACATCAAGAATGTGGGGCCGGTGCCTATGGCTTCAGCCAATGACAGGAAACTCTCGGCCACTATGATGTTGGATATCCAGTTTACGGTGGCAGACATTCCACCACAAATTCCTCGGTATGCTTCGGGGTAGATTTCTGAGCTCACGGTCCACGGAACGGGTCCCATGCCGGGGGCAAAGAAGGCAATGTAGAGAGCCAGACCTACGACTGCAACCCATCCGTACAGTCCAAAGGATGTGGAAGAAGAGGGTGCTAGTAAGAAGGCTCCAGCAAGAACAACAAGGGAAACTATCACGCCGGATAAGCTTGTCAGGACCAACTTTTTGCGACCGATGTGGTCTATGAGGTAGATTCCCACGATTGTGCCCACGGCGTTCATCAGTGCCACAATGAGTGAGATGAGTAACGCTAATTGGTTTGAACGGAATCCAGCCATTTGCACAATTGTTGGGCTGTAGTACATGACTGTATTGATGCCAGTCAACTGTTGGAATGCCTGTAAGCCAATTTTGACCATTTTATCGACTACTTGCATTCTGTAACCTAAAGATTGATGTGGAATGCAAGAGGAAGTGAATACTTTGGAATGGAATAAAATACCTGTAGTCCAGCTCCAGCAAAAAATGCGAGTCTAAGCTCTTTTGATCTGAAAACATCGGTGTACCTGACAGCTTTCTTTCTGAGGCGTTCATCCTCCAATGTGGTTGCTAGCTGATCAATCTCCTCCTCTAACCGATAAGGATCATAAATTTTAGAGAGAACAACAATAGCTTCGCGTTTATCCTTCTGCAATGGTTTGGTTTTTTCTGGTTTGTCAGCATAATCAAGGGATGAATCCACATAAAAAAACAATTCATATCACTCAAGTATTATGTACCTTCATATAGAGCCACCTTGGAGATTCGGGCATGAATAACATAAGACAGAACTGGACAATAGCTGGCACAGCAGACACTCCAAGCATCCATCTCCAAGTCCCTGGGACCTGCTAGGGGATTTTCAAAGGGAAAAAATTTTAACATCAATACTCAAATATTTCAAAACACTGTTTTTTTACTAAGAGTGGCAAGTGGCTATACACATTCCATGGGCAGAAACAAGATTGCTTAGAATTTAAAAGATATAGTCACAAATCAAATGGTTATTCTATAAAACAATAAATAAATCCCGCACCAATCATTACAGATATAATCCAATTCAATCTCTCTCTTCTCTTTGAAATGCTTTGATTCAATTAACCCCACTTAGAGGGATAATATTTTTAAAGTAAACTGAATTTAACTCTGTCCCTCTAGGTTCTTCTTGTTTCGGATTACGATATCTGACCGAAGTTAGTTTCAATTCAATTTATATGAATACTGGTGTAAGAATAAAAAACAAAATTTACATATTTAAAAACTACTTCAAAAGATCTACAAAACAAGTAATGACAAGACTATTTTATTTTATCAAATAATCAATGAAAATAAAGTAGAGGGTGTGTGCCTGCTTTGCCTTATGTAGCTACTGTGATTCTTCTATATGTGCAGCGTGAGCCGGGGGTCCCTTGGAAACAGCCTCTCTACTTTCGAGTAGGGGCAAGGTTTGTGTACACACACCCTTCATAGATCCTACTTTCATGGGAACCAACTGGTTTGTTGTTGTTGTATAATCAATGAAAATAGATAAAGAAAGTGAATAAAGTTTGACATTGTGAATAGTAACTTGGAAGAACCTAGAGGAACGGAAGGAGTACTTGTTTTCTTTAAAACACATGCTGAAAGCAAACTGGCCTTATAATTGGGACACAGAAAGTCAGAGAATATCTAGGATGATGTATGAAATGCAACCTAAAATAGCAGGTTTGCCTTGGAAAATAAAACAGCACTGAAAAATATAGAATCCACATATTGTCATTGAATGTGGCAGTTATCAGGAGCACATGCTAGGCAACTTTTATTTTCATTGAATGTTAACAATGTTCTACCAGAATTCAGGCAATCCTAGTTACTCCCTCCGTCCCCAAAAAAAACTTCCTATTTTCCTTTGCAGGACGTCCCAAATGGAACTTCTTTCTTTTTCTAGAAAGCTTTTTATGGCTCACCATCATTCTCTCTCTTTAGCATCATTCTCAACCACCCAATTTCACTTTTTTTAAAGTTTGTGTCAAACCCAAACAAGAAGTTTTTTTTGGGACGGAGGGAGTATTTTTTATGTTCAAATTAAGATTCACATAAAGGAAATGTTCATTTTCATATAAGAGTGAGCAAAAAATACAGCTACAAGCAATGATAATATCATAAAATCCATGCATAAGAGTGAGCATAAAATACAGTTACGAGCAATGACACTATCTTAAAACCCAGCAGAAAACAGAGCATGAGGGGAAAAACACTTAAGTTTTCTTGGGAAAATATGTACACAAAATCTGTAGCGGGAGAAAACAAATCAGCCTTTTTATGAGTACATAGTTGGAGTCTTGGAGATGAAGCTAATATCCAGCCTCCAGCCTCAGCATAACAAACAAGGGTGAGGCTAAACTAACAGTTCATGAGATATTATGTGGGTATAACTTGTGAGAGAGAACAAAGTGTAAAAGTTTGAGAATATTATAAAAGCACAATCCAGACAAAATTAGTGCATCTCTTTTTTCAGTTTTGAGACTCAAGTGTTTAAAACATGAACTGTTCATACTTCTTTGGGTCTCTGACATGCAAATTATAGACAACTTAAGGTACTCTTTCCCCCATCCCAGGAAAACCCCTTTTCACCAATATATGTGTTCCAAATTTCAGGACTCATTTCATTCCTTCCATATTTGAAGACTAATTCCAACACCGCTTTCCTCGCCAAACAGGTCCTAAATGTGTCCATGTATGGATGAAAACATTAACATTAAACAGACAGAACAGTAACTAGTTATCTTGTGTTACATCTACAAATGCAAACAGAATAGGTTGGGAATCAGAATTGAATTCATCATGATCAATGCAAAACAAGTAAAGATGATGTATGTTGAAGGCCATAGAACAATAGAGGTTGGAGTCAGATCAGAATTAATATACGCAAACAAGAAAAGAGCAATTTCCTTCACTGATGTTACTCATCGCGAAAACTATAATGCAAGCCCGATAAATGTACCTTGACGGTGCTTCTTCAAAGCTGCACAATGGAAAACCCTTTATGGCAAGAAAGCAAAGTGATAAATAGCTACTAAATTCAAAATAGTCTAATACTCCGTACATCATAGCAGAAAAAAGATGCAACAAGATTCAACATCCCATTTGTGTTAACTGGTTTTGATATTCATAACCCACCATAACTCCAGTATGAGATAGAAAAACACTACTGTGCCCAAGCATCCTGATGTCTAAATGAATTAGGCACGGTCAATCTATCATCAGGATATCAGAAACTTGATTATGGCAGTAAATTACACATTCCTAGTTTGTATATTCCAATTAAATTCAATTCAGATACAAGTGACTTAGCAACAAGGAAATTTAATATCACCTCTCTGAGTTCATTTATGTCGGTTTCAAATCCCTCCCTTTGGTTGGTTTGGGACTACAAGAACTTGGGAACCTTACGTTTTTCAGATTCAAGATGGCATAACGAAAAATGAGTGAAATAGCTTAACAAATAACAATGTATCACAATTTCACTATTGAAGCCCATAATCAATATTTCAGAATTTCTCATTTAAAATATTAAAATTAAACTGGAAGGTAAAAGTTGAATGGACCGCTAATCATGAACATCTGACCTCAGTGAAAGCAAGATTGACCAGGTAGGAAAGAAACTGTCCACCAGTAATCATTAGAACATTGGTGCTCACGAGTCCTCCCCGAATTTCAGATGGTGATGATTCAGCGATGTATACAGGAGCGGTGACAGATGCCACACCAACCCCAAGACCAACCAAGAGTCTTCCAAGTATAAGAACATATGGATCTGGAGCTGCAGCCATAACAATGGCTCCCAGAGTAAAAACAACGTCTGCAGAGAGAGTAGCTTTCTTCCGTCCATAAGCATCATTAATCCAGCCTCCTGTGGCAGCTCCAATCATAGCTCCAACCAAAGCCATGCTGACAATAGTTTCCTGCCAAAGCATTGATCCATTACATAAAAATAAAAAAGATAAACAACTTCATAAGTAATAATCTTATGCAGTCAGTTTATAAGGGTTGATGACACCAAAACTCAGTGGTTGGCAGGTTAGATTTCTATGCCTGTATTTGGTAGACGTGATATTTGATTATTGTTGAAATTGCAATTACAGGCTGATAATGGAAAATTCTGAAACTGTTGATGATAGAATAGGCCTGATTTGGTTCTGATTGGGGACTGTATGATGGCTACATCTATCCATTGTTCTCTGAGGAATGAAATTGATCAGAAAAATGCAAGTGAGTAGCTATGACTTAGAACATTCTTCTTAGGAAAGGAATTTTCAATTGCTCATACTCTTCAAAAATGGAATTATGACTGTAGGCCTACCCATGACTGATGTCTAAGCACATTGAGTTATTCCCTAATAAAGTTTGCTCAACACAAGAAATGTGTCACCACAATAACTTTTCAAAACAAAGAATCATCTCGTGACCAACCAATTACAACATAATGAATTATTACATGAGCTTCTCTCACTCAAGTTCATTGATGATAAATTTTTGGGCAAAATGCTCCAACCAGGTCCAAACCTATGTACCAATGCTAACTTTGACCATAAACCTTAGACATCAAATAGATCAATTCTAAATGTTACAAATTACGGAGAACAAATGTGTAACAGAAAAGGTTTAACCAACATGGAAATAAAGCTGTGAAAAAAAAAGAAAAAAAAACACTAATGATGGATTTAGATTTAAGTTTGTACATATAACTGCATCTGATTTAGACTTTTTTGATAGATGCATCATTTGGGCCTTCATTTCTATCTAGGTTGATCTTTTCTTGTTACACCTTTGTAAAGTCTAAACCAGATTTGTTTGATGTCAAAGATTTAGGACCAAAGTGAGAAGACCCAAAGCTTTGAACCTGATTTGAGCATTTAGCCACAACTCTTTTATATTAAAAAAATACAATTCTCTCCTAAGTTTAAGAACTGGGTACAGTACAAGTAAAAAAGACTTATCAAGTTATCATGTCAAAATTCTAAGCAATTAATTTAGTGTACCTGTAGGAAACTGCTTTGATTAACTTCTACAAATTCATCTTTAATGTACAAAAGTGCACCAGAAATTACTCCTGCAGGAAATTCGGTAGATGAGAGGCAAAATTAAGAAACCAACAATTGCACAGTGGCATTTCAAGGTTCCAGACTCTAAACATAGCTGTAGGCTTCAACTGTTAGCTGTATTAATGTATTGAAACGTCCTGATAATGATTTAATAGATATGATGAATAGGTGCTGTAATTACATGAACTGAGGATTAGTTGTTTACTATATATAGCTATAACTGCTTTCAATTAAGAGACATATATATACACAATACTTAATATTTTCTCACATTATATCAGAGTAAACCACTTTTAGGTTTAAATAGTTCACTTCTAGGTGTGGATAGTAGTTTTCTTGCATGTTTAGTTGACTAGCAGTGGTTCATTGGATATGAGCCCACCACCAAACTAGACACCTCATTGCGATTTGCAACCGAAATATCACATCGTTGGAGCTCCTGTCACGCCCCGACCAATCCAAACAACACACTAAAGTGTTTGTTCAGATTCATGCCAATCAATGGCATTGATGCCACCCCCACATCTTCAGTTCCTTCCGACAGCCTTGAACAGGCTTTTATGGCATCATATACCCCTACGTATCTCCTCATCTGCCACTGTTTGGAGTTCCGCCGAATACTACAGTACACTTGGTTGGGAATTTTACTATCAATCACGAGTTGTTTCAGTGGAGGTGTAGCTTAAAGGGGTAGGCACATCTTTAAGCATAGAAGTATATTTCACTGTATGTCTTTAATTTAAAGTTTCTAGTTAGCTCCTTTATTTGATTTAATTCTTACATGTAACCAGGCTTACATTTAAGAGATTGGTTTTTGACAAATTGTAAAGTGATGAGATGTGTAGGGAATGAACTACTTGTACTCAAATAAAGTTTATACTCTCTCACTAAAATCTCTAGAATTCAAATTGATATCAAAGCATTTATACAAACACACACAAAGTGCTTTAGGTTGTCTGCTGCGGCCATACCTCCTGTCACCAAAGTCAGGTGACCAGAGTACTTGGGAAGCACCGGCGACCTGCACCAGTAAAATCCCCTCCCTGTTTGATGGCAGAAGCGCGACCGCTATCCACCTTTGGCCGAGCACATGAGGTGCATGCCTCATCCTGCACAGTTCTGTTTGGCAAAATTATCCACCAACAAACTCATTGGCTATATCTGGCTTCAGTACTTGCTTTGTTATCCATATTGAGGTCTATTTCTCTGTCACTTTGCTTTTTGTTGCCCATCTATGCTAAAGGAAAAAAGTTTTCCTTTTCTCTTCACTATGACACCATGCTCAGAATCTACTAGTGTTGAAACTAGCAATAAAATTGCTATCACTAGTCATGAGTCCAAAGGAAGAACTCTAAATTCCTTTCACTTTTTGGGAGTCCCATCATTACACCATAAAAACTAAATGGTAAAATTTCATGGACTGGTATAATCCTGTTGCAGTTTGGTTTTTGGATCAATGTCTCAATGAACACCCTAGAAAGAGACACTAATTGATGGTTCCATTCCGTGAAGAATGGAAAATAACATATTATATCTCCAAGTGGCAGCCTATTGATCCAAACCTAATGGTCCGTTTCTCCATTTTTGCCCATAAAAGTGTAACAACATATAGAAGGCTACAAAGGTATATTGTAATGATAATGATCTTCATGGCTACTCTTCAAATGTCAGCTGATCTTCCTACTAGTCTTGATGAGGCACAATTTGTTATTGATGATATCAAGTGGATCATAACGAGTGATAATGTGTTGTCTTTCGAAGCATGATAATATGTACAAGTATATGGCTTTAATTCTTCATGAATCCTGGATTACATAAGTGACTTTGAATCTGCTCATAATCAGTCCTCACTAACCCAAAGATTCCTCCATGAAGGAACCCATTCATCATTTTTTTGGATGGAGAGAATTATATTTCCAGTGACCCTTGGTGTTACACTTTGGGTTCCCTCAGCTAAGGGTTCATCTGAGAATGATTCTACAAGAGCTTAGATATGCATTAATCTTATTTAAAAGTTAAAAGTAAATAACTTAATTAATCAATTTTCAGGAGTAATCACTGATATGCAAAATAAGAAGTTAAAATTAACATTTGTCTCAATAAGTTAGCATTCTAAGAAAAACATTATTAAAAATTAAAATCATAAAAATTTATAATATAAACTATATTTGTATATTTTAAAAAAATTATTTGTACGTATATATTTTTAATTTCATTGTTACTACTCCGTAACAGTTTTCTTATTTTTTATATTTATAGAGTTAAAAGTATTTTTTGTTAAAGTTATATTTTTTTTATATGTTTCTTACGGAGTACAATTTAACTTCATAGAGTTTTAAAAAAATGTTAAAGTAAAAAGTATGATTGAAAGAGTGTAAAATTTCCTTTAGAACACCCAAAAACTGAAAGTGTAAACTTCATTGGAATGAATATGTATTTTCATTTATATTTTTGTGTTTTATTTATGTGTTATTAATATTTACATTTATTTTTATTTTTATACTTCATCCATCCCACAATGAGAAATGTTATTTGTTTACAAGAGAAATGTTATGATCCGCATAGTTCTTTCCTAAAAAGAAAGATGGGAGAAATATAATTAGAACTAAAATGGAACCTTCAATGTTTTTTTCCAAAATATGTCAAATAATGCCAAAAAACAATGTGGAATAGCAACACACAATGCCAAATTGAGGCGTTTCACAATGCCAACACTCATTTGTGAAGGATAAAAACATAGGAGTGTTACTTTGGTACAAGATTCATCTTTTAGTCTCTTATTTTAGTACAGAGTAAATTTCTGCAAAAAAATGAAATAAGTATAAGTTTTATTTTGAGGACGGATTAGAGAAGAGGGAGTGTTTATATTTATACAGTATTTGTATTTCAACCTTTTTTATATTGTTTTCATTTTATTTTAAGAGCATAATAATTGTCTTTCGAAAAAAAGAGCATAATAATTGAAGAATGCAATTATAAGCAATTTTGTCTCATCATATCCAATTATGCTCTGAAATCATGTGGCCAGTAAACAGAAGGAAAACCAAGAGTGCAGTTACAAACAATTAAAATTAATATACAAGGACCAAAATTAACCGGGATCAAAATGAACTATTCACAATAATGGCGTGTGATTCCCCAATAACGAGCTTGGTTCATCCGTTCTCTTAAAAACTGAAAACTAAAAATTCCTACAATCTGTCATCGCTGCTTCTTGGATCAATAACTCCAGAAAAATTCAGACACAAACCAGTTTGAGGAAGAAGCAACGAGCAATTCATAAATTAAGAACGAACGGTATTCACACTTATAAACAATTGAACAGATACCTGTATCGTAACCGAAAAGGAGACCACCAATACCAGCGATTACAGTCAAACCCAGAACATAGGGATTGCTGAAATATGTGACCTTCCTGTCGCCGACGTCCAAGTATCCGGAGCTACCAGGCATCGACTCGATCGTCATTTCTATAAGAAAACCAAATCGGAAAGAAGAACTAAACACAAACTGACGATCTCTATGGGTGGTCCACGATTTCCGGACAGTTTCAGAGAAAATAGAAATAAAATCCGGAGGTGATATGCAAATCTTTTATGGATTCGATAAAATTTCTCTCCCGGAAGGTAGCTGAGATGCGGAGCCACGGCTCCACCGGGGATGTGATTGAGACCGGAGAGATAGAAGAAAGCCGGGGGGAAAGAGAAGAAGTGACTTACTCAACTAATGGGAGAAGGTGTTTTTATAATGTCCTCCTTCCTCATTCACTCAAATCATTTCAAATTCTTTAATTGGAATTTCGAAGTGGTACCTAAACTTCAAATTCTTTTACAAAATTCCCTGAACTTACACAATCCTTTCACTAATGAGCCATTAGCCCGTTTCTAGGTTAACTTCCGGTCATTAGCCCGAAACCGCCGGCGGGTCGGAGCGTTTTCCGGCCAACTCCGGCGAAATTGACGGCGGGCATCCACTCCAATGCGTTCGTGGCATCCGGGCGACCTCCAAGAACCCTTCAATTGCAAGATTTGATGACGATTTGCAAAACTCCCAATTTTGGACCCAATTTCGAATTTTAGGGTTTTTCGATTAGAAAAATTCAGATTCGAGAAGTTACAGGCCAAATTAGACAAAATGGTTTGGATATTATTGATCCTCGTCTCAAGACGAAGAGAATGACATTGGTCCCGCCGGAATTGGAAAAAGTTCATTTTCCAGCGACTTTGACCGGCGGGCGGCGGCGGCAGGGCTTGGAAGAAAAGAAAAGAAGAAATGGGGTCAAATTGAAAATTTTAAAATATATAAAATTCGAATTTGGCCCTAATGACCGGAAGTTAACCTAGAAACGGGCTAATGGCTCATTAGTGAAAGGATTGTGTAAGTTCAGGGATTTTTGTGAAAGGATTTGAAGTTCAGGTACCACTTCGAAATTCCAGCTAAAGTTCAGGTACCATTGGTGAAATTTACCCCCACTCTTTGAGTCTTTGGCCGTGTTTCTTTTTTGACCAAGCGAACCGCCAAAACCATTGTTTGGCTAATGGCTTTTTCACTTGGCATTTTGATCCGAAAAGCCAAAATCTGAAATGCCAAGGGGAGTAGCATTTGGACTTGGCGGTTAGGAAAAATAATTTTTTTTAAATCATTTTTGTTGAAATATATTTTATAATAAATGTAAAAAATAAAAATAAAAGTTAAAAAAATTAAATACTAAAAAAAATAAAATTTAAAATTTAAAAATTTCAAAAAATGAAATGAGAAAATAAAAATAAAAAATCATTAAAAAAATTTATATTAATAATTTATTATGAATTAAATGAAATTAAAATTTAATACTCCATATAGTAAAGATTTAATTTTTACATGTAAAAAAAATGAAAAATAAATATCGTGTGTGTGTGTGTGTGTATATATATATATATAAGAAAAACTATTTTCAAACAGCTAATTTTACCAAACATTTTTAACGATCAGCCAATTCATTCTGCCAGTCAAACCAGCTAAACTAAACAGCCATTCACAACAGCTGGCACGAACTGCCAACGGCCAACAGCCAACATCCAAACAAGGCCTTTGTCATGACTCATGACTCATGAGTCTCATCACTCATGATCTCCCCATAAAGTCCCTATATCATCTATGTATAGACTATTTTCTACATATTCACACAAATACTCAATTTTTTGAGTAAACTTCCAACATATGTAAATAAAAAATGGGAAATGCTTGGTTCACAAACAAAATGTTCACAAACTTCACAAACTTACTATTTGTGAACTTCAATAAATAAAATTAAATAGTCTAAAATAATTTTAAAATGAAAATTTAATCCATAAATAGTAAATTTGTGAAGTTTGTGAATATCATGTTTGTGAACCTAGCATTACTCATAAAAAATACTGCATTCCTGCCTTCCTGGCAGTGTTGGTCAAAATATTTATTTTTCGCACTCCAAGACGGAGTAAGCAACTCCGTTTCTTCTTAGATTAATAATAAAAACAGAGTAAACTACTTCATATCTTTTTATTTATCATCCAAAATGGAGTAGGCTACTTTGTTGGCCTTTAATTAACTAAAGACAGAGTTGGGTACTCCGTTTACCCTTAAATCCACAAAGTAATCAAATCTGTCTTCTCATCCATTCATTTATTGGTCCACAAAAAAACAAGGACGGAGAGAGACGCGAAGGGCGAAGAGGAGTTGGGTACTCCATTTACCCTTAAATCCACAAAGTAAGATATTTATTTAGTCATAGATTGTATGTATAAGTGCTTACTTCATTAAATATTTTTTATTATAATTGTCTTGTTATTTTTTTAATTGAATATATTCTTATCTTGTAATCTTTGAAGCAAATGGATGTACATCTGAGACCTATTTCACGAGATGTTTTAGTTCTTGAACCCGGAGAGCATAGGCGTGATTGAGATTTTACGAGAATACAGATTTTATGGGGTTGAGAAGGTTGGTGGATTACAGTTGGATTGAACTTTGATAACTTCTTTAGTGGAGAGATGGAGACCCGAGACCCATTCACTCCATCTTCCCTTCGGAGAGGTGGCAATTACTTTGCAAGGTGTAGAGGTTTTGCTTGGATTTTCCGTAGATGGCATTCTATTAGCGGGGATCACTAGCCGATCTAAAGATCAATGGATTCATATATGTGAGGACATGATGAGATTTAGACCTCATACATCTGATATTAGGTCTTCTATGATTAAGATGTCTGCAAATGTTCCCAAGCAATTAACACATCATAGTGGAGATGTAGATTACTTGCATCATGCAAGAGCTATTATGTTTAAGTTGTTGGGTGGTAGCCTATTTCTCAACACAAAGAGAAATAAGGTTAGTTTATATCTTTTAGAGATAATCATGGGTGACCCAAACATTGTGTGGGGTCGTGATATTGGTTTGGCAGTACTCAAATTCTTGTACCGCAATATGTGTTGTGCTAGTGCGACAAATGCAGCACAGATTGGAGGTTGTCTAATCTTGTTATAGCTTTGGGCTGGAGAACGTCTACCTATGACTAGACCTAGAGGGGTTGTACCATTGGATTAGCGGGTAGATGTGCCATACGGATTCAGGTATTTGCAGTTTCTTTATGTAGATCATAAAATCGTATAGTATGTTTTATTTATTATTATGTATAATCTTTCACTTGTAGATGAGTTTGTTACCATTGGTGGTCAGATTGTATCGCACACTCTATATGAGCATACAGGGACCAACTAGACAGATTGCTCGAGGGTGAGTATATTTTAGTTTTAATGTGTATCATATTATTTGTTTATGTATGTAGTTTGTTTGGATGTCGTATCCAAATCTCGAAACCCTACCGCCCTATTGTTCAGCTGGAGTCAGAGCATGGATTTCAACCATCCCTCTAATCTATGCATATGTAGTGGATATGTACTATCAAGATCGGTTTTGCAAGCAGTTTGGTGCCCTCAACCACGTCCCTCAAGTTTTTGTCTATGATCATCATCTACACCATATTAAGTCAAATATTATCCAAATTGGTGATGGTGAGAGATAGTATTTAGAGGTATGTGAGGGACGTTATGATGCTACCGTGCCGATGGATTTTGGGATGGTGGATGCCACACCTGAGTATCATCAGCGGTATTACCTTTCGGGTCAACGACAGATAGCAAACCCCGTCCATCAGCACGGACCAAGGTACATCCTCATTTCTCCCGAGCCACAGACCGCAGTAAGTATTCATAAAATACATGATTCTAAATTATAATTTTTTTTAGACTTATCAATAATATCATATGTATTTTACATTAAGTAATGTATTTTAAAATTAGAGTTAAGACACCAAATTTTTCAACAACCTTAAATATATTTTACTATATATTTATTACTCTCCAAAGTAGTAATATTATAGTTTTACTATCTTATATTAAATTTGCTAGCACAAGTTTAATCTAAGACTCTGGAGTAAGTTTGTGTGGATACGTTGGAGGCTTCATACGTTTGGCACTACGTTCATCTCCTGAAAACCGTCCGCGGCCGTTTCTCCGTTCTCCGTTTTCACCGCTAAGGTAACTTTCTTACTATAGCTAATAATTTACGAAAGTTGTTCTTGGGTGGAATCGAGTTTTAGACTCTAAATTTTTGTTTTCCGCTGCGTTATCCAAGCCTCGTTTCCCAACATCAAAGACGTGCACATTCACCTTAAACCTATTTGTTAGACTAAAGACATTTTTTTTCAATTTGAAAAAATATACTCGTACATTGTACTTCATGGAGAAAGTGAGTTAACATACTTGTACGTTCCATGTGGCTTGTGAGATCACATCTAGAACATTTAAATTGGGAATTGTCGGGTATGACCTTCTTGTTGCATTCGGTGCACCCCAAGTAACACCAATCTGATGTATTTTCAAGAGAAGAAATCTCGGCTAGAATCTAATAAATTATGGGCTATTTATTTAGATATAAATGAATATCAAGTCCAAATCGATATTGGTTGAATTCACATAAAGACTTGATAAGATCCATATCGGTAGAATTTAAATGGGTAGAAGTTAATTTCTCACTGTTGTTGTGTCAAGTAGAGTCTTTAAAGTGGCGATTTTCACAGAATCGTTTTCTTCTTCAAGACCACCAACCAACATTGAAATGCTCACGGTACTCACATCGTCAACTTGTAGCAGTAACCTATCAAAACAACCACAACTGTGTTCACAGTTTATTATCATTCCAAGCCGACTCATGAGTCATTACAAAATCGTAGTTTGGTATATGCACCTGGGACAGAATTCATTAACTTCATTAGAGTTTTCATCGAAAATCATCTTTGTGACATGAAATGAGGTTGAAAGCGTCACAGAACCTGCTCAACCATTTCAATCAGTCAGATATTCAATCTTGATTTATAAATCATGAAACTTAGAAGAAAAAGCTATACTGTAAAATATTAATTTTACCCATGTATCACTTAGGCCAACAGAAGTTGAGTAGTAATATAAAAGCTGGAGGAACATTTTGGGTCAAACAATTCAAGAACTTCTTCGCATATTCTCCCCATAATGTACCAGCCAAACGGTTGCCACTGCAAATTTATTTCATTAACTTATTATTTTTTCAAACATTTACTCTTATGTGCCATTTATAAATAAATTCTCATACTCATGATCCTCAAGTGTTATCTCCATTAGTTTCTCTTCTCCACCTCTTTTTATGTGTGTTTGAACTTTGGAACGTCCAACAATTTTTCCTATGATCTGCACCGATTGGAAAAGTTCAATTTTTGCTTATATACTTAATGTATGTAAAACTTTGAAGGCGTACATGGTAAAATCGTTTTCTAAAAATTCTTTTATCGATGAGAAGTTGGTCGTTCAAACAGGTCCGTGCTTGAATGCTCGAAAAAGATTTTAAGTTAAAAACATTTCGAAACACAAACAAAAGTCTCAAAAAGGACCAACAAAACACTCATACGAGAAACTACAAAAACAAAATTTTCAAATTTAAAAGATTCATTTATGACAGCTCAAAAGAGGAGGCAGCAGCCCAGAAGAAACTAGCAGAGAGTTTGATCTCATTCCAAGTTCAACATACAGTATTAGACAAATGATAATTAGCTACGGTAGTAGTACAGGCTCGTTAATGTCTGTTTCAAGCTCATATTAAGTTTACAAAGTGGCAACGCACACAAATACAAATATTCTTCTTGCCCATAGTAAAAGCAACCAACCAACCATCAATGGCTGTCCGATCACAGAGATTCAGGGCATGGTCGGATTCTAGACGGCATCTGCAAACCTGCCCTTTGACCGCCTAAGCTTTGATGAAGTAACAAGTTTTTAGTAGGAGTTATAGACATCTTGCTAAGGGTATTATCGAACTCCTCAAAATTCTCATTGCCACGGGCAGTCCCTTGAGCTATTATGTCTATACCGTTCCCAGGTATACAGACTTCGACATCATCATCTTCATCGCTCGTGCATTCGTCTTCTTCAATCTCATCATATGCATTTTGAACCATTGACAGTGTACATAGTTTGGCCTAATAAACCTGTCGGCCTTCTTTAGCAAGCAGGGATCAAATGGGAAAAATGTATCCAGCCTCTGATACCCACCAAATGCTATTGAGTGTTCAGACTCCAGTAGACCGCCGACAGGGGCATCACTGTCAGGGAAACTAAATAAGCATGTGGCTTCAGCTACCCTAAGGAACTCTTCTACTATAGACGGTAAACAAACCTGATTGAAAAATGAGAGAGATGATTACCACAATGATCAATTCAGGTTTATTCAATAATGTTTCGTGTGTTGTGTTTTCAAATCTAATTTTTTAGTCACGATTGTAAATTATTTGTGTGCTCGGTACATCTGTTTTGGGTTTATGGTTTAAGATTATTTGTTATGAAAATATATGGTCTTTATAGAAATTCTAAATGTTTCGTAAGCACGTCTCAAAAGGGAAAACATGCCCAATGAAATGACGAAATCAAATCATTATTGTTTCTGATATCCAATAACTTTCAAAATTATATTTCTGTTTTTCAGAAACAAAAAAACAAAACCATTCCCGCCAAATGTAGTTCAGTGTTTCTGCTTTTAGAAAAAAGTGAAAAGGGAAAACAGAAAGCAAGTGTTAGCTAAAAAAACCAGGATGTTTCTTTTTTGTTAGGTTTCTGAAGAGTAACATAAAACATGAAAGGGCTTAAACCTGTCTTCTAGAAAAAGAAAAATAGTACAATTTGCATAATCAGTTCTTACCGTCAAAGGACTTAATGGATGCCTCAGAATATCCTCTATGCGCATGCGCAGGAGTTGAGATTTGAGACGGAAGAAACTGTGAATGGACCCCCTTCGGAAGCAAATTATGTACATTATGGCCTTCAAGAAAGAAAAAAAGATAAAATTAAGTAAACATTATTTTCCCAGCTATAAGCAACTGATAAAGCCATACTTTCCAACTATCCATGAGTGTACTTGAGTACATGGCAGCACTGCATAATTACTGGTGGCATACCCATTATTAGTGGTCTGATGGGGTTTTAGTTTACATATCTAGACTATGAATTAAGAATAATGTAAAGAAGATAAATTTATATAATCAGAGACCAGAGACATGATAATATGCTCCGTCACACACAATTATGTTCAAAGAAATATTTGTCAAGATCGCTTTTCTATCACAAGCAGGATTGAGAGATGATGCATAAGATATAAATTATACACACAAACACTCCCTATATCTTGTTGTTTTTGTCGACATTCATTTTGGTACAAGGACCAATGCAAAGGAAAGGAGGGTGTAGTCTTATCGCTGCCAGAGTTGCGCTCAAGGACAAAGTAACCGCTGGCACCATTGGTGTGTGTGTTGTTGGTTAATTCCAGTCCAGAATTCAGTTTAAATTTAAAAAATAAATAAAAAAAGAGACAGGCAGTTAGGCAGGCAGTTTTATGACAGTTTCCAACAGATGTGTTGGTTAGAAACTGTTGTGTCTATTTGTAATGGTTGTGTTGTTTAGTCCCCTATTTATATGTATGGACACATAGTTCTGGACAGCAGTTCCACAATAAAAAACACACTGTTTCTATACTTTAGATCTGATATTATTTCTCTCAATTGGTATCAGAGCCCTGGTATAAATAAAAAAACCAAACACAGATCTGTGATCAGTAGTTGTCTTGCAATACACCTGAAAAACAATAGTCTGTGATGGAGGCCATCAATACTAAAAAAACAAACGATGTTGTTGCTGTTACCCCGGTTTGAGATGGAGGCTCGACAACGTACCAATGTCCTGTACTCACTACAACAAACTATACATCTTGGGCTATCAAGATGCAGTCGTTTATGGATGCCCAAGGAATTTGGGATGCCATAGAACCACCGGATGCAACGGAGGTGGACGTCAAGATCCGGAAGAAGGCAAGGGCCTTTATCTTCCAGGCACTACCGGAAGACATTCTGATGCAAGTAGCAGGACATGCAGAGGCCAAGGACGTGTGGGATGCACTTAGGGTGCGTTATCTTGGAGCCGATCAGGTTAAACAAGCACGAATCCAAACTCTGAACAGAGAGTTTGAACTGCTGAGAATGAAGGAAAGTGAGAGTATTGATGATTTTGCAAGCAAGATCAGCAAGATCGTGTCTAAGGTTCGGGCGCTTGGATTGACAATCGAGGAGAAGAAACAAGTAAATAAGTTGCTCAATTCTGCCACAAACAAGTTCCTTCCAATTGTTGCCACAATAGAACAGTATTCAGACTTGAATACTATGGCATTTGAAGAAGTTGTTGGTAGCCTTAAGGCCTATGAGGAACGGATTACTCCTGGTGGACCAGTCAAAGATTCATCAGATCAATTGTTGTTAACAAGGGCTGAATGGCAAGAAAGGCAGAAAATTGAGTCAAGGAAGGCCGGCAGGGGTCGTGGAACAGGATTTAGTGATCACCTTGGCCGAGGTCGTGGGCGTGGCAGACCTAACGGGCATGGACAAGGGGGTCGAAACCCCTCAAATAATAACCGAAGTTTTGGACAGGATGAACAACGTGGTAAACGTGACCGAAGGAACCTGCGGTGTTATAATTGTGATAAGCTTGGTCATTTCTCCGCCGAGTGTCGAGGCTAATCTAGCAAAGGAGGATGATCTCATCTTTGCTAATGGTAAAGAATGTACAAGATGTGGTGATGCTGAATGAGGAGAGAGTGTTTCCTTGTGAATATGCTAAAGAGAACAGCAAGGAAGGCATGTGGTATTTAGATAATGGTGCTAGCAATCACATGACCGGGGAACGGGGTTATTTTAGCAACCACGATGAAAAGATAGTGGGACGTATGAAGTTTGGAGATGGTTCAACAGTTGAAATCAAAGGCAGAGGGTCTGTTCTTTTGCAATGTAAGAATGGTGACCAGAGGCTCATCACCAACGTCTACTATATTCCGGACTTATGTAATAATATACTAAGTTTGGGCCAACTTGATGAGGTGGGATGCAAAATTGTTATGGAGGACAGTTTTCTTTGGCTATATGACCGTTTAGGAGCAACATTGATGAAAGTGAAGAAGTCTCCAAACCGACTATTCAAGGTACATCTTCATATAGTTCCACCAACATGTTTACTTGCAAAGATGGATGAGGCGGCCTGGATTTGGCATGCATGCCTTGGACATTTAAACTTTGATGCTATAAGGAAGTTATCAAAAGAAAAATTGGTGATTGGTGTGCCAAACATAAATCACAAGTCACAATTGTGTGAAGCTTGTCTCGTTGGGAAGCAACGACGTCTTCCATTCCCATCCCAAAATTCTTATCGAGCACAGCAGCCCCTTGAACTGATACATGCTGATCTGTGTGGTCCTATTACACCGAGTACACCATCTGGGAACAGGTACTTTTTATCGCTAGTTGATGATTTCAACATATTTATGTGGGTATATGTTATCAAGTTCAAAGGCCAAGCATGTGAGGCATTCAAGAAGTTCAAGAAGTCTGTTGAATTAGAAAGTGGTTACAAGGTGAAAGCAATGAGAACTGATCGTGGAGGTGAGTTTGTATCTACCAACTTTGCAATGAAGAAGGTATAAATAGGTATTTAACCGCACCATATACGCCACAACAGAATGGTGTGGTTGAACGCCGAAACCAAACTGTTCTAGGAACCACAAGATCTATGTTGAAGGCCATGAATTTACCCCAATGGTTGTGGGGAGAAGGTGTACGACATGATGTCTACATCTTGAACAGAACTCCGACAAAAGCTTTAGAAAAGAAGACCCCATATGAAGCCCTAAAAGGACGGAAGCCCAATTTGGAACACCTAAAGGTGTTTGGATGTATGGCGCATGTCAAAGTACCAACACCCAAATTAACAAAGCTGTCAGACAGGAGCGAGGCAATGGTACATCTCGGGAGTGAACCAGGAAGCAAAGCATATCGACTTTACAACCCAAAGACAAAAAGGTTATGTGTTAGCAGGGATGTCCAATTTGAAGAAAACANCCGACAAAAGCTTTAGAAAAGAAGACCCCATATGAAGCCCTAAAAGGACGGAAGCCCAATTTGGAACACCTAAAGGTGTTTGGATGTATGGCGCATGTCAAAGTACCAACACCCAAATTAACAAAGCTGTCAGACAGGAGCGAGGCAATGGTACATCTCGGGAGTGAACCAGGAAGCAAAGCATATCGACTTTACAACCCAAAGACAAAAAGATTATCTGTTAGCAGAGATGTCCAATTTGAAGAAAACAAAGCGTGGAACTGGGCTAAAGATTTGGAAACAGAGGGAAATGAAAGGCAGGTTGAATTTGTTGTTGAAGATGAAGCTTGTGTGACTGGTCAAGGATTGACTCAAAATGGTGGCAGCCCACTTAATACCTCGCCCAATCAATCCGAAGACCTGGCTGCTCCAATTGTACAGAATGGGTGTGAATCTGTTAGCCCACCAGAGAATTGTTCATTGTCTAGCCCAAACTCGTCTGCTTCAGTTCCAAACAGCCCGCATGAGCTTGAAAATCTTAGTACATCAGGTGCAAGTCATATTTCAAGTTCACATTATGATGATACACCCCCTCAAGGATTTCGCCACCTAAATGATGTGTATTCAAGAACTCAATCGATACAAGAGAAGGTTTTTAATCCACCTCACTTTGATGATGCAGAACTATTGCTATGTAATGGTGAACCAAGTACCTTCAATGAAGCCAAAGATAGCAAAGAATGGAGTACTGCAATGCAAGACGAATTGGATTCTATTGAACGAAATGGAACCTGGAAATTGGTTGAACTCCCAAAAGGAGTTAAACCGATTGGTCTGAAGTGGGTTTATAAAGCCAAAAAGGATGCCACAGATGATATAATTCGCTACAAAGCGAGACTCGTTGCGAAGGGGTATGTCCAAAACATGGTATTGACTACGATGAGGTGTTTGCTCCAGTTGCTCGAATGGAAACAGTCCGTTTGCTTCTATCCCTAGCTGCACGAGATGGTTGGGAAGTTCACCATCTTGATGTGAAGACGGCTTTCCTTCATGGAGACTTAAAGGAGGATGTATATGTATCACAACCCGAGGAGTTCGAGAAGCCAGGAAAGGAACATCTTGTGTACAATCTGGTAAAAGCTTTATATGGCCTGAAGCAAGCCCCAAGAACCTGGAATTCAAAGCTAGATGCAACTCTACAACAACTTGGTTTCAAGCGTTGTCCACGTGAACATGCTGTATATAAGCGAAACACGAAGAATGGACCATTAATAGTTGGTGTATTTGTTGATGATCTAATCATCACAGGTCCATGCAAGGATGAGATCGTTGGATTCAAAGGACAGATGAAAAACTGTTTTGAAATGAGTGATTTGGGGCTTCTGACATACTATTTGGGAATAGAGGTGAATCAAGACAAAACAGGATATGCAACAAAAGTTCTAAAAAATGAAAATTTGTGGGAGTGTAATCCTACAAAATTTCCTATGGATCCAAGTCTCAAGCTTGGAAAAGATGAGGAGCTGGAGTCTGTTGATGCATGCAACTGAGTACCGAAGGATTATTGAGTGTCTTCGATATCTAACCCATACAAGGCCAGATATGAGTTATGCAATTGGAATAACCAGTCGATTCATGGAGTCACCAAAAACATCACATATGCAAGCTGTAAAACAGGTGCTGCGATATTTGAAGGGTACAATCAACTACGGGATTCGATACACGAGGAATGGCGATGCATGTTTGGTTGGTTATAGTGACAGCTCACATGCGACTGATCGGGTAGATGGAAAGAGTACAACTGGGATGATCTATTATGGGGGTGGTCCAATAGGCGATAGCTTGGAGTAGCCAAAAACAGAACACGGTTGCACTATCTTCATGTGAGGCTGAGTTCATGGCGGCAACGGCAACTGCATGTCAAGCTGTCTGGTTAAAAGATTTGCTTGAAGAAATCATAGCTCAAAGCATGGAACCCATAACAATTCACGTTGATAACAAGGCTGCAATCATGTTAATGAAGAATCCAGTGTTCCATGGGAGAAGTAAGCATATTGACACTCGATATCATTTCATTCATGAATGTGTCGAGAAAGAGCTAGTAAGGATTGAGCATGTAAGTGGTGACGAGCAGAAAGCTGATATCTTGACTAAAGCATTACCGAGGGTCAAATTTATCGAGATGAGGCAACTGATGGGCATTGAAGACTTGGCAGTAATGAGGACTAGAATCAAGGGGGTGAATGCTGGTTAAATCCAGTCCAGAATTAAGTTTAAATTTAAAAACAAAAAAAAAAAGAGACAGGCAGTTAGGCAGGCAGTTTTATGACAGTTTCCAACAGATGTGTTGTTTAGAAACTGTTATGTCTATTTGTAATGGTTGTGTTGTTTAGTCCCCTATTTATATGTATGGACACATAGTTCTGGACAGCAGTTCCACAATAAAAAACACATTGTTTCTATACTTTAGATCTGATATTATTTCTCTCATGTGTGTGTTTGTGTGTGCGTGTGAGAGAGAGAGAGAGAGATGGACTTTGGGTAAAGAAGGTTACTCATGTCTATGGGTGAGAAGCAGCGATTTCTGGCAAGGCTGCAATTCATATTTGGAGGGGGAGATTTAAATTTGGAAGAGGTGAGGAGGTATTGCTGTGTACGTACTCTGAAGGCTATTCAAATTCTGGAAGAGTTTTGCAGCCTGCGACTTTGGAAAGAGGGCTGACAAAATAAGTTATTAGGAAGTACTGAGTAATGAGTAGGGGGTAGATGTGACATTACACACTTTATATATTTCGCTTTAATGAAAACTGGGCAAATACTTTGCGAAGGCCTAAAACAGAATACTAGACGGATATGGAATATATATATACACACACACACACACACACACACACACATAGATACATACATATACACACACACACACATACACACACACACACACTCCATCCACTTTCTTTCGTCTGACTTTCCTTTTTGGGTTGACCATTATCTTTTAACCAATTTCTTAAAATGGAAACAAAATAAAGTGTAAAGGACTCTTTTGCCCTTTGAATTTAGAGCTCACCCTTCCCTTCTTTCAATCACAGTCGTAGTAGTCTCTCTTTTATAATCGAAAACCTTTCATTGAAATTCTTTTTTTTCTCTGCCCAGATGATAGATACCAAAAACTGGAAACTAAAAACAAGAACAAATCTTCTAAATCTCTTTAAATCAAGAATCTCGATTCTTGAGACTAAGAAGCCCAAGAGAATCTCTGAAAATATAAATGTAATATTACTCCTGCCCTTTAGCATAAACTGGCTAAGGGTATAAATAATGCAGTAATACAAGGGAAATAACAAAAAAGAGAAACTGACTCCTTGGGTTTAGATGGTGATCCCATCATCCCACAAATATTTCAACTGACTCTAACAACTTTGACTGACCCAATTGCTAATAAAAAGAAATATTTTAAATGACTAACAACTTTGACTGACTCAATTACTAATATAAAGGGATAGACTCATATTTAGGTAAATAAATAAATAAACATGACCAAGTCATTAAAAATGACTAAGGGGCTGTTTGGCAACTTCTGAATGGGTAAGTGCTGAACCAGTAAGAGGTCTGAACCATTAAGTGCTGAACCAGTAAGAGGTCTGAACCATTAAGAGCTAGTATATTGCTTAACTATTCAGAGGCAAATGTCTGATCAATTCAGATAAGAGGTCTTAACCATTCAGACTCTGTATAATACTTAACCATTCAGAGGCAAATCTCTTAACCATTCAGACATCTGAACCATTAAGAGGCTGAAACAAACAGTCTGAACCATTAAGTGCTGAACCATTCAGACATCTGAACCATTAAGAGGCTGAAACAAACAGCCCCTAAGTCAAATGCTTATTCCTGCGCCGCTGATAAGTGAGCAGTGGCTTAGTCTTATTCAGAGTCCTATCATTACTCCCTCCCTGGAAAACAGACTTGTCCTTGTGGACGCCACCAAATCATACTCTTCCCAGGTAGCCTCTTCCGGCGGTCGGCCTTTCCATTGTACTAACACTTCTACTGTGTCAGCATTCGAGCGCGTGTGCAGAACATTTTCGGGCTCTAATAGTAGCTCCATGTCAGGTGAAATGGGTAGTTCTGCTGGTGGAGTGGTGGGAGACTGCCCATGAGCTGGTCGTAGTAATGACACATGAAAAGCAGGATGGATTCTCGCTGATGTAGGTAATTCAAGCTCGTATGCAACCTCTCCGATCTTTTGCAATATTTTGTAAGGTCCAAAAAAACGCGGAGAGAGTTTCATATACTTCTGATTGGTCAAGGAACGCTGCCTAAAGGGCTGAATTCTCAGAAAAACCGACTCGCCAACATTGAAGTGTAACTCCCTCCGTTGTTGGTCCGCATATGCCTTCATGCAGTTCTGTGCCCTAAGTAAGTTATCATGGAGTAATTTGAGAATCGCATCCCTCATGAGCAATTGATGTGCCAACTCTTCTACTTGAGCTTCACCGGGGACAAATGGATGAAGTGGTGGTGGATCTCGCCCATAAACTGCCTTAAAAGGTGTTGTGCCGGTGGAAACATGATAACTAGTGTTGAAAGAGTATTCAGCCCAACATAAATACTTACTCCATACCTTGGGTTGTTCATGGGCGAAACACCTTAAATAAGCTTCAAGACAACGGTTGACCACCTCTGTTTGACCATCTGTTTGGGGGTGATAAGCCGTGCTCATCCGCAAACGAGTCTGGCTCAATTTGAATAGTTCCTGCCAAAACGCACTTAAAAACAAAGGATCACGATCTGAAACAATTGATCTTGGCATGCCATGCAATTTCACAATTTCTTCACAGAACCTGGCTGCCACACTATTTGCAGTGTATGGATGGGCTAAACCAATAAAGTGACAGTACTTGCTGAGACGATCAACAACCACAAAAATAGAATCACAGTGTCCTGATTTTGGTAATCCCACCACAAAATCAATCGAAATGTCTTCCCAAATTTGCTGAGGTATGGGTAAAGGTTGTAACAACCTGGCAGGCGAAAGCGTGTCATATTTGCTTTTTTGGCAAACAAAACATTGTTGAATGAAAGTTTTAACATCAGCTTTCATTTGGGGCCAAAAAACCGTATCGGGCAGTTTCTTTAAAGTCTTTAAGAACCCCCCATGCCCCCCTGATTATGTCATGTGTGCTTCCTCTAATAGCTTCGCACGGATGGTCGAGCTTCTTGGAATGACTAACCTGCCGTTGTAGTAAAGTTTCTGCTGGATCAAGGAGTACTCTGGTTTAGATTTGGCGTCACGCTTCAAAGCCTCAATGATGGGTGCCGTGAATGGATCTTGCTGCAATGCCTCCTCAAGATTCAGATAGTCAAGAGGTACTGGTATTACCATGTGTAAGAAATCTGCATGTTGAGGCCTCCGGGACAAAGCATCTGCCCCTACATTCTCTTTTCCAGCTTTGTAAATAATGCTGAAATCAAATGGGAGAAGTTTCAGAATAAGGCGCTGCTGACTATTAGTGAGAGTTTTCTGCTCCATGAGGCACTTGAGGCTGTGATGATCAGTTCTAACTGTGAAGTGGCGTTCCAGCACATAATGACGCCAATGTTGTATGGCTAAGACCATAGCTAACAACTCCCGGTCGTATGTAGATCTGTACCTGTTTGAAAAAGAGAAACCCTTGCTATAGAAAGCAATGAGATGACCTTTTTGCAAAAGAATAGCGCCTATTCCTTCCATAGAAGCATCACATTCAATCACAAATTCAACAGAAAAATCAGGAAGTTGAAGCACTGGTGCATTAATCAAAGACCATTTGAGTTTGTCAAAAGCTTTTTGGGCAGAATCAGACCAACAGAAAGCATTTTTCTTGGTTAGATCCGTCAAGGGTCGAGCAATCATACCATAACTTTGTACGAACCGGCGGTAGTATCCAGTAAGTCCTAGAAATCCCCGTAATTCAGTTGCATTGCTAGGCACTGGCCAATCTCTTACTGCGGCAATCTTCTCACATTGTGTCTCCACGCCATGAGAAGAGATTTTATGTCCCAACTCCCAAAAAGGAGACTCGAGTCCGTCCTAGTTCACACTTCTTCGCATTTACTTGATATGAGTGTTGCTGCAATGTTGATAAAATGGTGCGAAGGTGCTCCCTGTGTTGATCTACATCCTTGCTATATATTAAGATATCGTCAAAAAAAACCAACACAAACTTTCTTAAGTGAGGTCTAAAAAGATCGTTCATTGCTGCCTGGAAAGTAGCCAGAGCATTAGTGAGGCCGAATGGCATGGCGACATATTCATAGTGTCCATTATGAGTTCTAAAAGCCGTTTTGGGAATAACGGCCTCTAAAACTCTAATTTGGTGATAGCCAGAGCGAAGGTCAATTTTTGAAAAACAAGCAGCACCATTCAACTCATCCAATAATTCATCAATATTGGGAATAGGATACTTATCTGGGATGGTGAGTTTGTTGAGTGCCCTGTAATCAACACACATACGCCATGTTTCATCCTTTTTCTTTACTAAGAGCACCGGACTGGCAAACGGACTTGAACTGTGACGGATGAAACCCTTCTGAAGCAACTCATTAACCTGTCTTTCAATCTCATTTTTCTGAAAATATGGACACCTGTAAGGTCTCAAATTAGGTGGAATTGATCCAGGAAGAAGAGGAATCGCATGGTAGTGCTCCC